GGCTGAGCCCCAGGCAGCCGCTGCCGCCGCCGCCTCCTCGGAGCGGGGCCCAGGCCCAGCCGCCGCCGCCGCCGAGCACCATGGGAGACGCTGGGAGCGAGCGCAGCAAAGCGCCCAGCCTGCCGCCTCGCTGTCCCTGCGGCTTCTGGGGGCCATTGTTTTTTAGTTTCAACCCTTTCTAGGATACCGTGTATAGATAGATGTGCTGGCAAAGTTCACTTCTGAAAGGATTTATGAATGAGACACAAAGTAGGTTAAATAATGCAGTAATTCTCAACTGTTGAAAAAGAGTATCAACCAGAAAGAAGTAAAAAATAAACTGGAGGTAGGAGAAGGTGCCTCAGGACTTAAAGACCTCCTCCCAGCAGCTGGCCCCTAGAGACCAAGCCTTTAATGCACAGCCTTTGGGGATATTCAAGATCCAAACTGTAGCAGCTTTCACTAGAAAAGGAAGGTTATTCCTGCTCAGAAACTGTGAACACGTGGGATCAGCTCAAACCCCTGTCCTGCTAATGTCCTCTTTCTCCTCAGTCCTGGTGTCTCCATGTAAGGGCACAGCATGGATGATTGCCTTTAAAATTGTTTTCTAAAAGGCTCACATGGCAGACCCAGTGAAGGCAGGATGGCAGTTGGCACCTCTTGCAGTTCCCACTGAGAGTGACAAAACCTTGCTGGTGCAGGAGCAGAGCTCTGGACCCTCGGCCGGGGCCTTGCTTCGGATTCTGTTCACAGCATTCTCCCAGTTTGGCTTCTGCACTCAGACTGGGTTCTCCCAAATCCCACAATGGCCCACTCTGGACCATTTCTATGCCATCCAAATGTACTCGGTAAGCAATGCTCAAAGAGCCCAAAAGGCCTGTGATAGGAAGCTGCTTTTCCAGAACCCCCTCCCCCCCAATTTCGTCTTGGGACCAAACACAGGCAGTGACGTGGGGCCTTTGCCCTGAACTACCTACGATGCCGAGAGCTGCCAAATTGCTAACTTGGTCAGAGTAGATCATCCAGATAAACTCCACTGAATCAAGAATGTAGTCTTTATTTTCATGGCATTGACATACTGGGTGAATGTGGCCTATATAATAATCAGCCACTTTCACATGAGCCTCAGAAGGGGCAGCTATCAAATGGCCAACGTTACCTGCCTTGCTCAAAGGAAGCCTGAGAAGGGGCAGAGAGACCCTGACCAGAAATACTTTCCTGCTTCAAAGCCTTGAAGACTGAGACCCTGAGAAATCCCAGCTGAGTTGTTTGTGACCTAGACTTGCTCATAAGAAGTGGATCTGATTGGTCTCAGCCTTCCCGCCTGGGCAGCCCTGCCTGTTAGACTCTCACGTCTGGGGTCATCTGCTGGGGTTTCCATTGGTGTCAGCCCTCAGTAACAACCTTTAAGAACCAAACTAAATATCCAGCAATTCTGAGCACCCAGAGATCCAGTCCTGTCCACCCCACTCTACCCCGTGGTCAGGACCCACCCGGTCTGAGCCCCACATCCTGCCTCGTGATGGGGGAGGCTGCCCTGTAAGAGGCCACTGTCAGCTCTCCTGGGGAAGGGGAGGTGGACCTGGTCACTAAGGGGGAAAGTTCCCCCATGTGGGGCAAGGCCACCTGGGCCTGATGTAATACAGGTTTCCTTAGCAGAGATGTCATAAATACAGTGCGGGTCAGCACATTCCGGGTTCCCAAGGCTCAAAGGCAAGTGGCTGCCAGAAGGGTTCTACCCTACAGGGCAGAGCACCTGCACTCCACTAGCCTGGATTGCTATATCTCACTCATTTTGGTCCTCCCCCCACCCACCCCCATCATGTTCCTGCGGTGCCCCTGGGTTCCCGCACTCCTCATCTGGCAGCAGTTGTGGCTCCTGGTCCTGGCATTCCCGCTTCCAGAAAGGTACTGGGTCCCGCTGACCACCAAGCCAGAGTTATCCCCTGAGCCCTCATCTTTCCCTAATCTGGCAGCATTGCCCGATACCCTTACTCCACATCTACAGCCAGAGTCTGATGACCTAGCATCGTCTGCTCCCTCCCAGGGGTCGGCCCCAGGACTTCCTCAGGTCCAGCCGGAGGCCCAAACTCGAAATTCAAAGCCTACAAAGGTCCAGTCCTCTTTACCTCAGGAAGAAGTCAAAGGTCAACTCTCACAGCCCCTCAAGGAAGCTGAACCTTCTATAACCCAGCAGGATGCCTACCCTCAGTATGAACTTGGTACTGAGAATATAGGTCAGCTGTCGATGCAGGAGGCAAATGCGCCATCTGGAAGTAGGCATGAAGCTCAGCATTCAAACATGGCATTTGTCACAGTGAGACCTGTGGACATGAAGGTTAGCAAATCTACAGAGGCAGGGAAAAAGCCACAACCTACTTCAAGCCAACTGCAGACCCTGACCCAACACCCAGAGAGTCCTGAGGAGGAGGAACCTTCCTCAACCCAACAAAAAATCCTATCTCAGACTTCAGAGCTCTCTGAAGAGATAGGAATTTCCTCAACCCACCAAGAGGCCCCAGCTCAGCCTCTAGGCCCTCTTGTGGAGGCTGAACTTTCTGCCACTAAAACAAAGCCAGCTCAACTTTCTGAGTCTTTTAGGACAGAAGAACCTTCGGAAATCCAGTTGAAAGCCCCAGATCAGCCCTCAGATTTGGAAACTGGAGAGCTGGAAACTTCTCCAACCCAGCTGAAGCAACCAGCTCAGTTTTCGGAGCATGGTAAAGAAAGAGTGCCAACTCCACATCACCACAAAGCTAAGCATCCACACTTGCCCCATGTGACTGGTAAACCTCTGAATCTGCAGCTTGCCATAACCCCAGAACCCACCACAGAGGAGGGAAACTTCCCAGTGCTCCCCAAGGCTGCAGCTCAACCCTCAACTCCAGTAAATGATGTGAAACCTTCTATAAGTCAGCAAGGGGCTCCAAATCTGTTTTCTGAGGCCTCGGAAAGAGCTGAGCTCTTACAATTTCACCAGGAGGCTCCAGCTACATCTTCAGAACTTGCTCAGCAGGAGACCCAAGCTGGCAATCTATACACTTTTGAGGAGGGTGAACCATCTTGGCCCACTCAAGAGGCTGGAGCTCAGCCTCCAGAGCTCCCTAATGAACTCATACCTGAGCCTCCAGAACTACAGGAGAAAACAGTCTCTCCTCTAGGTGATGAACAAGTTCAGCCTCCAACACTGACCCGTGGCGCTGTTACTCCTGGAGAGTTGTTGTCTAGTGAGGTTGAAATTGAAATTTCAACTGCACAGGAGGCCCCAGCTCAGTCCTCAGTGTCCCTTGAGCAGTTTGAATCTCTTGGAGACAATCAAGAGCATACAACTCCACAGCCAAACCCTGCCATAAAGGATGAACTCTCTTCATCTGACAGCAAGGTTCCAACTCCACCTGCAGAGCTTGCTGGGGAATATTCCCCAGACCACCCCCAGAGCTTAGCGATGTCCCCAGGCTCCTCTGGTGTACCAGTTTCACCAGTGCAGCAAGAGCTCGCAGCTCAGTCTTCAGGACTCCCCAGGAAGGTTACTCTTTCTCTTTTATTGACAGGAAGAGTAACATTTTCAGCCCAGCCTTCAGAGCCACCTGAGGACACAGAACCATTTTCAGTTCCCCAGGAGGAGGATGCAGCTCCACTTTCAGAGCCACCCAATGAGATGGAACCTTCTCAAGCTCAGAAGATGACCCCACCTCAGCGTGCAGAGGAAGAACCATCTCCTGCACCGCCACCAGCCGCATCTCCTCCTCCAGATCCTCCTAAGGTAGAACTTTCTTCAACCCTGCCCATGATGCTCCCTCAGCTTCCAAGTGAGCCACCCAATGAGAGCGCAGCTCACCCTCCACCCCGTTCTGAGACGACAGTTCCAACTCCAGCTCAGGGTCAAGCTCAGCAGCCAAGCGTCACATTTCACCCTTTGAACCTGGAAGCCACCATCATTCCAGAACGTACTACAGACAGTGAATTTTCCACAGCCCTGAAGAAGGCTACAGCTCTTCCTCTGAAGAACCACAAAGTGACACTTCCACCTCCAGACTGGGTTCAGACTCAGCATTCAAAGCTCAGTCTGCTCACAGTTCGACCTTTGCACCGGAAGCTTATCGGCGCTCCAGGAATTACTGCAAAAGTTAGATCTTTTCCAACTATGCCTGAGATCCCATCTCAGCCTCCAGAACCACCTAAGGTGGTTCAAACTCCGGCGTCTCATGAGGTGCAAGTTGTAACCCCGGGTCTGGAGCTAGCTCAGCATCCAACATCACCCACAGTCACAGACCAAGCTTTGAACCTGGAGCTCACAACTGCAGTACTCACTATAGAGACTCAGGTTTCTGTACCTCTGCAGGAAGCTGCATCTCCTCCTCCAGAGCAGCCTGAGGTGATACTTACACAACCCGAGCAGTTGCAGGCTCAGCATCCAAACCTGGCTGAAGTCACTGTTCAGCCTTTGGATGTGGAATTTGTGGTCACTGAGTATTCTGTGAGTCACTCTCCAGGAAAGGCTTCCACAGTGCAAGAGAAGCAGAATGCCAGGACAAACACTGACATATGTGAGCTCTGTACCTGCCAGGATGAGACCTTGTCATGTGCTGGTCTCAGCCCAAAGCACAAGCTCCACCAAGTGCCTGTATTAGAGCTCAACAACACCTTTACTACCTTCAATTTCCAAGAAAATGCTATTTTTCACCTCGGTGAGAATAGCTGGACAACATACAGGTTTGCTGAGAAACTAAATCTCAGTGAAAATAACCTGACTGGATTACATAAAAATTCCTTT